CATGGATACAATGTCACCAGAGTGATATAACTTGACACAACCTTACTTTGAAAGTGTATTTCCAGGCTCAAAACTCTGAATGACCTTCTCCACCTCATGTTCCTCTGAAGATCTCACCAAGAGCTTACAGAGACACTAAACATTCTTTATTACTGTGATAGCAAAATCTAAGCAGCTAATTTTACCTTCCTAAAGCTTTAAATAAGCCTGCAAATTCCTAAAGGTTTTCCAAAGACGTAAGAAAACTAAGAAGTTAAACCAGTTACTCCTCAAAAATAAATTTGATAACTAGATAAGAAAAAAAAAACAACTGTTTAATCACCACTAATCTATTAATCAAAGAGTGGGGATTATGACGATGCAGCCCATATGTTGAATCAGATCACGGTTCCAGATGGCACTTTCCGACCGATACGACATATTTGTATTGGCTGACAGAGCAGTAAAAGTAAACGACTGTAAACATCAGATGATGAAGTTTAGGACATTGTGCATCTCTGTTTAATCAACGACGCCATGAGCCAAATGCTTGATGTAAGGTTGAATATTTTTTCTTTCTTGTTTACTGTTTTTCTCAGATTTATGACTTATATGAACATGAAATATTTTGGTTTGAAGTATGAGTTGAATTCATTCTGAAAAAATGAATTGTTTGTTGCATTTTTTGCTGCTTAGCATAATTGATGCCGTTTCTCGCCTCAGCCCCTTCATTATAGACAGGTGACCGCAGCACCTGGAATATATAGGAAGTTGGGGCCGGGTGAGCTCTTGGATTGAGGCACGCAGCCATACAGTTTTTGACCGCTATTGATTGTTGTTGTTTTTCCAGTGGAATGAAAAGAAATACTGTGGTAAGAAATTCAAAATGTGTTTGTGGATAATAAAGCATCTTGAAAAGGAGGCAAAAAGTGTGTTGTAACAACTTGTGAAGATGTAGCTCAATAAAAGTGGGGAAGAAAAGGAGAGCGAGTATTGATCCCTGTGGGACGCCTGAAGGAACGCCTTTAAATTTGGACTTTAAAGAACGTATGAGAGAATTAATGGAGGAGATAAACTGATGTAAAACAACAAAAACTGAAAAGATATCTTCAATTTGAGTTGAACTTTCGATGAGTTTTCATATTTCGACCGTTCCACCAACTCAAAGCAACCAAAGAAGTCATTTTGCCCTGCGAGAACCTTACCTGAGGTTAACCAGCTCCAACACTGTTCCAACCAGTTCCTCTGATAGGTCCACATTGTAGAGAACAAGAGAGGCCAGTCTGTCCCTCCACTGAGTGAGAAAAGCTGTTCCCTGTAAGTGTACTTCTGACAGATCCAAAGAGGTGATGGACTTCAGGGGTTTGAGAAGGTTCTCCACTTTCACATCGGCGGGCAGGCTGCCCAGGTTGAGCAGCCTGAGGCGGTTAAATCCGTGGAAGCTAAAGTCTGTTTCCAAGTTCTGCCGAGAGGCACGGCCGTCTTCGTCCTCATCCTCGGAGTCTTCGGGACAGGCGAGCGTGGGACCGCCCTTCCTGTAGAAGATGTTTTTACAGCGAAACAGACAAAGAGACACCAGCGTCTCACGGAAGCTGGTGAGCGTCATTAGGCTGCGAGACGACAGGCTGTCACAGTAGGGGAGGTGGAGCTCAATCAGGTCCTGGAAGATGTAAACAAAAATACAATTAATTAACTCTAGATGTCCCATCCCTCCTCCCCTCTACAAGTTTGTGTATTCACCCTACCTTGCTAACTGTCCCTATTGTAATGCAAATAATTTGTGATATAACCAGCCCTTCTACAGGAGACTGGATAAAGGCTGAAGCAAACTGGCATCAGAACTTTTCAAGCACTTTTCATTACCTTCCCCTGCAACATCAGACCTTTTTGCAGGAATATCTTGATAAGTCATATTTAAATCTTTTATTTAGGCAAACCTATTGAACAACCAGATATCATACGGGTCCTAGTTCCTGAGCTGAGAACAGGTCATAACCATGCTTTTCCAATAAGGCAAGGCCCAGCCTAATAACTGTATTTTGTCTTGTCTCGCCTTTTCATGTCATTC